GAATTCAAGGGCAGAGTCACCCCAGAAAGTGAGAACAAGTTTAATGTAACAGATAAGAAATGCATGTTCCACGGAGAGAGAGCAGCACAGCTCCAAAGACTGAGCAGGGCCCACACCAAGTTTAACACAAAAGTAGGTTCAGTACAGACATCAAATCTAACACAAAAAACAAGAAACACACACTTAAAGTTCCATACAAAGTGCAGGCTGGCTCAAGAGAGTGGCCAGCGCTTGCTGAAAGTAAGTTTGATACAAAGTGAAGTACACACACCTCAGCCAGCAAAGTGTGGGGCGTCTCCAGGAGAGTGAGCGGCAGCCCTGCCTTCGGCTGGGACTTGGCTTTTATAGTTTCTCTGTCTAGTGAATATTCAGTTAAGGAAGTGGTTCCCAGCTGTATGTACCAGAATGCTCTGTGCTCTCTACTGAGCGTGCCCAGCCACTGGCTTGCATGAGCCAGCCCCCTGTGGTCTCATTTCCCCTGTTGGTGCTGAAAATAGGTCTGACTGGCAACAGTCACTTTCCTCCAGGTGACAGCCCAGAGGAGGGGACCTGAGACCTCAGGGAGTGGCTGGGAACCCGGAGGCGTGTCCTGAGCCTAGGGAAAGCGAGCCCCTCCGGTATCAGACAGAGGAGTCTTCTGTAAAATGGACACAGCTCTGCAGCCCCTGAGTTTATGCAGACAGGCTGCTGTACAGCCTTGGGCCCAGGCCTGGGAAGTGCAGGGAGGAGACTGGAGTGGAACAGAAGAAAGGTGAAAAGCAGAGATGGAGCCCTGCAGAAATACTCAGAGCATGTCCAAGGAGAAAGGCTTCTCGTTCTCAGGCTGCTGCAGCTCCCAGCACCGGGAGTCCAGGCTTGTGAACTTGCAGGCAAGTGGCACTGCACCCTGATCTCCACTTCAGCTAAGATGAGCCAAGGCCCTGTGGTTGCAACCTGTTTGCATGTGCTTTGCCTATAGACTCTCTGTCTATATTGATGGAGCATTCCCTTCCCTCAGTCCTGCACCAAGAGCCATCCAGGAAATCTCACTGTGGATGCAGTTCACCTGTGGCTTCGAGTCTGTGCGTGGGCAGTTCCTTTACCACTTGGAAAACTGTGAGCCTGTAGAGGAAGCAGTAGTCAGCCTTGGCACGCCAGGATTTCTTTAGGGATACAGAGATTACTTTTTGGCCCAGAGGTGGGCAGAAGGCCCCTCTGCGTAGGCCCCCATTCTAGTCTTCCTTTCCTTTGCAAAGAGAAAACAAGATCTCCGCAGGCTTGAATATGGTCCTTTGTGGCATCAGCACTGAGGCTGTTGTCATCACTGGCTCCTTCCACTTGGCCCTGACCTACTCCCCAAATCTCAGACCCGTGTGTAGAGCTAGAGTTAGGGTCTGGAGCTCACAGACCCCTTGAGCCTGTTGGACAGATTGGGTCTATGAGCTATGTAACTGGATAAAAGGTCCTTGGAGCCTTGGTTGAAGTAATAGTAAGCTTTATTCAGTACGCACACATCTAAGAGCTAGACAGTCCAAAGAGAAACTGAGGAGCTGCTGGCAAAGTAAACATGCTCTATTTTAAGATGTGTGCTCTGCCCAGCTGCTGCTTCACACACTGAAGATCACACAAGAACAGCAACGAGCTAAAAGATACATGGGCGTGCGTGGGCACTAACTCCACCCACACACAATGTGTTTACAAAGAATGTGCTGCACCACCGCCAACCCAATCTGAGGCGAGGGGACCTGACTAAACTACTCTATTTTACTCACACCGTGTTTCCAAAGCTTTCCTTCTCTAGCCTGCCTCCAAAGCTGCACAGACCTCCCTTCCCTATAAACACATGCCCTTTGGCTCTCCTGGTTTGGTTCAAAGCAGAGGTGTCAGTTTAATTTTCCAGTCATAGTGACCACTTATGTGCTGGGTTTTCTTCCAGATAAAGGGAAAAAAATACATGAATAGGGGAGAAGGAACTAACGTCAATTGAGTGCCTGCCATGAGACAGACTTTGTAAACACATGGAAAAGTTGGTCACCATCAAACCCTGAGAGATAGCCATTTTTATTCCCCTTTAGAGGAGAAACTGAGGCACGAGGTTGGCACTTCGCTGGTGTTGACACAGGTAGTAATCGGTGCAGCCTGAATTAAAACTCAGATGTGTAGATTCCAGTGCACTCTCCTGACATCATCTACACTGATCCGCATCTGAATGGTTTTAATCCAGGGGTCTGTATAGAATTATGCACAGCCCAATAGTCAGTTTGTATAAAATCCTTCAAAAAAGGGGTTGTGCTAAAATGCTTCATTTTCTCCCAGGAGAGCTGATTCAGGAAAGCAAAGATAAAAATAGTGGGCAGGCAAGACTGAAATAAGAACAAAGTTTATGGTCCGCCTGTGTAAGAGGGTCCTTCCTTTGTTCTTGTAATTAAGTACTCATGTTTATTGAGCTCTCATTACATGTCAGGACATGAATGTGAACGAGACCAACATGGACTCTTCCCTCACCGAGTGTGCACTCTAGTGGGACAGACACTAAACGTGCAATTGTGTGAGCATTCAAATGGCATTCTGGCAAGTCCAGGAAAGAAAACGGACATCTGACCTTCTCAGGAGGGTGGCAAGTGCTCACCAGCTCCAGGGCAGCCAGGCTGACTGCTGGCCTGCAGGATAAATGAGCCAACTAGATCACAAGGGATGGAGGTCCAGGGGTGTAGAAAAGAGAGCTTACAGATGCCCGTGACAACATGCACATGGGCTCTGAGGTGGGAAGGAGAGGGGGAAGAGGTGGGTAGAAGATGTGTAAAGAAAGACAGACTTGAGCCCAGGATGGCGGCAGGCTGGCTGCAAACTTGCCCAGATCCACACCCTGCCCTGCATCCTCAGCACTCTCTCTTCAACTTGGCTGCCTCCACCATCAAGAGGTGGAGTCTGTACCCCTTCAGCCCCCACCCCCACCCCAACCCCTGGATCTGGGCCTTCCTTCGACCAACAGAATGTGGTGAAAATGAGCCCGTTCTGAGCCTGAGCCTCAGGAGCCTGTGTGCTCTTTCCTGTTCCCCTCTGTCTCTCTCAGTTCCTCCACAGCCCTGTGCACAAGACCAGGCAGAGATCCCGTCATACGAGCCAGTGACTTCCTAGTCCAGCCAGCCTCAGCTGACACACAAGGACAGACTGTGTGTGAGCCCAGCTGAGAGCAGCCCAGCCCAGCCCAGCCTCCATGAGCACTGCTGAGCCAACTCACAGACTCATTAAGAAATGAGAAATCATTGTTGCTTTAAACTGCTACACTTCGGAACGGTGTGTCACGCTGCAATAGCCATTGTGTCTGCATGTTGGGAGACCCCCACAGTTGGGACAGTGAGAATTGTAGGTCAAAGTAAGAATTTTGTATTTTATCCTAAGGCAAAGGGAAGCCAGTGAGGGATTTTATGCAGTGAGGTGATAGCATTAACTTGGCACTGTAGGAAAAGATTCCGAGCAGTGAGAGAACAGCAGTGGTGCAGGAGGCTCTCCTTCTTTAATTCACACGTGACATGACCAGTGCGTCTCTAGGAAGCAATGCTTGACCTCTTCATCTCTGATATCTGCTAAAGTGTTTGCTAGCCAAAGTCTATCAACTTGTATTTTAGACACTTGACCATTTAGGGTGCTCTGAGGGATAGGCCACAACTATCACCTATGGTCATAGATACCACCGAATTGCTGGCAAGAGTGAATAAATATTTATTAATCCATTCAGTGTACACCACCACCCACCTACACACCCATCCATCTACCCGTCCACCCATTCGTCCACCCACCCTCCTATTCAGCCGTCCGTCTGTTCGTCCATCCTTCCACCCATCCATCCATCCATCCATCCATCCACTAATTTCTCTTTCACCGAGGATGACCTTTTCGTGTGTCTAAGTTCAAACGCTCCATTCTTCTTTAGATCCCACATCCTGCACCTCCTCAAAGGTGTTATTTTCCAGACATTCTCCACTCTAAATTCTGCATTGTCAATTTCCCGCTCTCATGTTTTATTTCCAACAGCAGATAAATGTGACTTATTTCTTTACCCTTTAAATAGTCTCTCTTGACTTTTCTTTGTCCTCCAAAGAAGGACACTACCACTCCATTTGTCTAGTTCCCTTCAAGCCAAACTCCCTGAAAGAGTAGTCCACATTCGTTACCCCCATTTCTCCCTCCCATTCTCTCCTGAGTGCATCAGTCTTCCCCACCTCCAACAAACCCGCACTGTTGAAGTTGCCAGTGACCTCCAACTTTTTAATCAATGACAGTTCTGTCCCCCCCCTCTCAACCTGAGGCACTGAGACTGCAGACCACTCGTTGCTCTCGAGGTCTTCCTTCAGTGCCCTTCAGGATGTCTCCTCCCCTGTTCTCCTCCTACACCCCTGGCTGTTCCTTCTCAGGCTCCTTTGCAGGTCCCTCCTCATCTCCTTGATATTCCAAAACCCGAGACTTTAGAGCTTAGTCCTTGGAATTTTTTAGTCAAGGCACATTTATGATTTAGTGATTTCATCCAGACTCATAGCTCTAAATAGAGTCCGAACGCTGGGGAGTCCCATTGCACATCTCCAGCCCCATTGTCTCCCGCAAACTCCAGAATCATCCATTGAACTGTTTACTTGACATCTCCCCTTGGGTGTTAAGCGGGCACTTAAAATATAACATGTTCAAACTGACTCCTGATCTTTTCTCCAAAGTCTGCTTCTCTTGAATGTTCTCCATCTCAGCTAATGACAATCACCTCCTTCCAGTACTCAGCCCCAAAATCTAGGAGTGACTCTTATGTCCTTTTTACCTCTCACTGCATATTAATCGATTACCAAACCCTGTTGACTGTACATGCGATATATAACCACCAGTGCCCACTGCTCAGAAACTCAAAGCCACCATCTTTCCTGGATTATGAAAACAACCCTCTAGCCTCATCTTCTGGCACTCTCCATGAAGCTTACAGTCAATTCTCAACACAGACACCAAAGTGACCCAAAAAACAAAAATAACCACTGATCATGTCTCTGATCAAGAAGAAAATCCCCCTATCGACTCACAGTAAACACTAAATAAATGTCTGAGGCTCCAGGGTCCTCTATGACCTTCAATCATAGTACCTCAGACCCTTTTTTCTACACACTGTTAGGCTCATTATAATTTTCCCTATAAAATGTCTTCCTGTACATTAAACAGGAGACAAGATCCAGCCTCAGTGCTTTTGCACATGATGTCCTGTTCCCTGGATTGCACCTCCATCAGCCTCCTCCCTCACTCCATCACGTCCTCCATCAGCCTCCTCCATCACTCCATCACGTCCTCCATCAGCCTCCTCCCTCACTCCACCACGTTCTCCTCCATCCTCCTCCTCCCTCACTCCACCACGTTCTCCATCAGCCTCTTCCCTCACTCCATCACATTCTCCATTAGCCTCCTCCCTCACTTCATCATGTTCTCCATCATCCTCCTCCCTCACTCCATCACGTCTGACATCAGCCTCTTCCCTCACTCCATCACGTCCTCCATCAGCCTCCTCCCTCACTCCATCACGTTCTCCATCAGCCTCCACCCTCACTCCATCACGTCTTCCATCAGCCTCCTCCCTCACTCCATCATGTTCTCCATCAGCCTCCACCCTCACTCCATCATGTCTTCCATCAGCCTCCTCCCTCACTCCATCATATCCTCCATCCTCCTCCTCCCTCACTCCATCACATTCTCCATCAGCCTCCTCCCTCACTCCATCACGTTCTCCTCCATCAGTCTCCTCCCTCATTCCATCACGTTCTCCACCAGCCTCCTCCCTCACTCCACCACGTTCTCCACCAGCCTCTGCCCTCACTCCATCACATTCTCCACCAGCCTCTGCCCTCACTCCTTCACGTTCTCCTCTATAATCCTCCTCCCTCACTCCATCATGTTCTCCATCAGCCTCCTCCCTCACTCCATCATATCCTCCATCCTCCTCCTCCCTCACTCCATCACATTCTCCATCAGCCTCCTCCCTCACTCCATCACGTTCTCCATCAGCCTCCACCCTCACTCCATCACGTCTTCCATCAGCCTCCTCCCTCACTCCATCATGTTCTCCATCAGCCTCCACCCTCACTCCATCATGTCTTCCATCAGCCTCCTCCCTCACTCCATCATATCCTCCATCCTCCTCCTCCCTCATTCCATCACGTTCTCCACCAGCCTCCTCCCTCACTCCACCACGTTCTCCACCAGCCTCTGCCCTCACTCCATCACATTCTCCACCAGCCTCTGCCCTCACTCCTTCACGTTCTCCTCTATAATCCTCCTCCCTCACTCCATCATATCCTCCATCCTCCTCCTCCCTCACTCCATCACATTCTCCATCAGCCTCCTCCCTTACTCCATCACATTCTCCATCAGCCTCCTCCCTCACTCCATCACGTTCTCCCACATCAGCCTCCTCCTTCACACCATTATGTTCTCCATCAGCCTCCTCCCTCAGTCTCATTGGTTCTTTGCCACTCAGTGAAGTCTCTCTCAACATTATATTCAAAATTTAATCC